GGAAACGAAAGCTATTTTTCCACTCACCACCGACAGCCCTTTTTCAGAAAAGAACAAAAGAAAGTTGTAACTTTCTCCCCCAAAGTGACAGTCGAACAAAGATAGAGAAGAGGAAGAAGGTGACAGCTGAATAAAGATAGAGAAGAGGAAGACAACAACCCAATAGCCAAGAAAGAAGGAGAGTATTGCTCACATCTCGCTGACACAAACAACACGAAGACAAGTAAAGAGAATCAGCAGCTCACTCCACTGTGGCAGGCAAACACGAACGGGAAGGATGGCAGCAAACGAAGCACAGCAATGAATAAAACGCCCAACCAACAGCTAGCTAAGAAAGTTGATAAGAATCAGAGAGATAAACCGACTATGAAATTCTAGAGAAGTGTATAAGGGCGATGGAGATTAAAAAAAGCGCGATGCTCTATCTTATATTTGCGTGAACGAGCTGATTCAAAGCAAAAGAAGAAATGGCAAAAATTATAAAAAAAGAGCACAAGAAAATTACAATAAAAGACATAAAAAATTATAAGAAAGGACACAAAATTTTATAATTTAAAACCAAACTTCTACTTAGAAAATTTGGACTCTAGATCCTTGCGAAAGTTTCTAGCATAATTTCCTATAAACTACCCTTTTCTAATTACTATAAAACTTATTAAATAAAATATTCATTAGGAAAAAAATTTTGTTCAATTTAAAATTTAAGGGTCATTACATTAAGACTCTATATGAGAAGAATAATAATATGATGATCACAACGACAACGACGACGATGAATAGAATTCTAGAAGAGTAAAATCTAAAGAAATAGAAAATGATAATTAAGACCTTTTATCAAAGACACCTCAAAAACCAAGTATTTGCTAGGCTTTGATACCATTTGTTAAAAATTGGGAGGGACCACCCAAAAATGGGTAGAGAGGAGAAACAGGCAAAAGTAGTGAAAGAACATGACATCTTAACTCAAACATCATGACTTCAATTTATGGGTTATTTCTCTTTATTTTATATTAGTTATTAAGCCTAACTTTATCTAACATAAGACTTTTTACATCTTCCTAAGTTCACTTACACTTAGATAACCTAACAAATAAAAATATAAAAAAATAAAAAGCATATTTAAAACCCTATATATAAGGAGGGGGAGGGGGAGGAAGACCTCCTCCTCTTCCTTCTTAGTCTTTCTCCTCCTATTGGACGATGATATAATGCAAAATTTGTAAGCTAAAATGCTGGATGATAAGTAAAATAAAAAAGAGATAGAAAAATAATACTTAAGACCCAATATAAGTAGAAGAAGATGATGACGATGAGTTAGAATGCTAGAAGAGTAAAATCTAAAGAAATATAAAATGACAATTAAGGCCTTATATCAAAGGTGCCCCAAAAACTAAGTCTCTGCTAGGGCCAGCTATGGCCAATGGAAGTCCCTGTTGCAGCCAAGACCACTCCTATTTTGAACTTAAAACATGTGTACAATAAAAGGTTTATTGGTCCTAGGTGAAATCTGACTTTGATACCACTTGTTAAAAATGAAGAGAGATCGCAAGAAACTGAAGGAGAGGAGAAATTGGTAAGAATAGTGAAAGGATATCACATTTTAATTAAAAATCTCAAGACTTAAGAAAAATAGAAAAATGATGCAAAATTTGTAACCCAAAATGCTGGGCCCAGAAGAAGAAGAAATAGAAAAATGATACTTAAGACCCAAAAGGAAGAAGACTTATAATTTTATTACATACTTCTGTTCTATTTTCAAACTAACACTAGCTTTTCTTAAAATAAAAAGTAAATTACAAGGATTCTCAAAATTATGCTAAGTTACATGAATAGATTACACAAGATTTCTTTGAGCTTTTTTAAATTGCACAAACCATTCTTATAGTTTCAAGTGATTTTTGCATGATTTCAATAAAATCAAATAAAGAAGTTTGTATTGGTTTTGGAAATAGATGGAATGTTTGTATAACTCTAACAAGATCAAGCTTGTTGTTTGTACTTTCCATATTGTTACTACTGATACTTCTCAAAGGAAGCGTTCATGCTTCTTATAATTACAAATGCAAAACATTCTTGTAACATTTACAAGACCAAATTATAACTATGGGAAAAGGTATTGGTATCTCTACATAGCATTAATGATAATTATGACTAGGGTTAAGGGTCATTTTTGTCTTTCAATTTTACCCAAAAGGTCAATAGGCACCTTAAACTTAATTATGAGTCAATTTTGTTACTTAATGTTAAAAACTCTCTCCCTCAAGTTTAAAAGTAGTGCAATGTTCCCCATTTTTGTCAAATTCCAAACGTGGACTATTATTTTGACTCTACAATATATGCTTATGAGGCTCACTCCCTGTGAGACATCTACTTCAACTTTTTTCCTCTTAGATTGTATTTGGCCACATGCACACACCCAGAGTAATTAATTAAATAATAATTGGAATTATGCCAACTAAGCAATTTTTTATCAACAATAACAACATATTATTACACAACACACTTAATAGTCAACATTTTATGTGTTAAAATTGGGCTAAGTTGCAAGTTACAATACTTCAATAAAAATTTAGAATATTAATTACATTTGAAGAGAACTCTCCCCAACAAAAATGCCTTTTGATCCTAAAATGTGAAAAATAATTCACTCAACATGTTTATGTACATGTTATTTAAAGAACTTATGCATGTTGTTCTTTCAATTTGTGAAAATTCAAAATTTAATCTGGTTATTTATGAAAGTGCAAAGGTACAAATTTAGATATAAATTGTTTTTTAGGAGCGTATAGTAACTTAATATTATAAGGTGGTGCAAAATAAATCATAAACTATAAAAATATCAAGTTATTTTTAATGGTGGGCCCCACATTTATCTCTTTATGTGTTCTTTCACTCATGCTTTCTTCTTCCTTGCTTTACCCTTCACTCTCAGACCTCCCTACTCCCAATGAAAAGCATCATAGATGATCAATAAAGGAGGAGGGGACGCCCCTACTCCTTTCCCAAACAACGACTCTCCTCTGGCCAACTGCCCCCTCCACCGCCTCCTTTGCTCTGCCCCCGCCTTCTAAGAGCACAAAGTGTTCTTCTAAAATTCAATAATTCACTACCACAATTAACAACCCACCAACTTTGCTAGAGACTTGAAGGAGGTGCCAGCCCTTATGACTACAAAGAAGTTAAATGTGATAAGTTTCCTAATTCATGGAGGCATACATGAGAGCTTGCTCCCCCCCCCCCCCAATTCAATCCCTCTACATGAGAGTTTCGTAATTCACATGTTGTCGTGGGTCTCAATATGGTAGTCAAGCCTGAAGAAGGAACCTAAAGAATGACCTAAAGAAGGAATTTGATTGATTGTTGGATTGCATCATCACAGAGATAAACTTTGAAATGGGTTTCTCTTGGTCAGTGCAAAACGACATCACGCTAGTTGGAATCAGACAATATTGTGGTTGATTTGTTGATCTAGTAGTATTTGGGAATATCAAAGGACAAGACCCCCTGGAGCAACATCATCGCTACCTCCACCTTATTTGGCTCCATCAATGCTGTCATCTTTACATTACTCCTACCTTCTTCATCCTCCAAGTCTGTATCCTTAATACTAGTAAAGAAGAAAGAGGGATCAAATGAAGAGGAGGACATGTGGCTTGTTAACTTTTTTCAATCAAATTTGGTCGAAAAACATTCATTAGTAGGCACGTGATGCTCCATTTTTTGTAACTCAAGATTTATTTTGCGCCACCTAAGCTATCAAATGCTCCTTAAAAAATAGTTTATAACTAAATTTACACTTTTACCCTTTATAAAAATGTCATGGGATGGGATATATTTCTATATCAATTTTATACAAAATAGATATAAAATTTTAGACATTGATATTTGGGAAAATGACAATAAAATCTCACCGAAATATATAAATGACAATCAGGTCCTTCAAAATGTCATAATTTCTCTAAAGTCCTTGAGTATCTTTCTAACATTAGTGATTTTATGTTAAATGACTAAATTGCCCCTTGTTTAAAATAACATGAGAAGTTGTAATTTCTTATTCAATTCTTATGATTCATAGAATAAAAGTTGTAATTGCTTAAACAAAAATTATAGCTAGTTATTTTCATAACTTGGACTTTAATGATAAAAGAAATTTCACATAGAAATTAATTTTTTGTTCAATTTTTATGATTTATAGAATAAAAGTTGTGATTGCTTAAACAAAAGTTGTGTTAGTTATTTTCAATATTTGGACTTTAATGATAAAAGAAATTCTATATAGAAGTTGTGATTTTTTATTCAATTTTTGTGGTTCACATAATTAAATTATGATTGTTTAAATAAAAATTGTGATTAAGACTGGTTATTTTTAAAAAAAATTTATCAATCATAAAATAACTTTCTCATGAAAAATTATGATTTTTTGTTCAATTTTTGCGATTCACACAACAAAAAGCAGCAAAAGTTATGTTTGAAAAAATGAAACCAAAACTATTATTTTTATTTTAAACACGGAATAGTTTAATCATTCAACCTAATATTGTTAATGACAAAAAGATACTCAAGAACTTAAGAGAAATTATGATATTTTAAAAAATCTAATTATTATTTGTATATTTCATTGTGATTTTATTGTCATTTTTTCTTGATATTTTGTACTAGCAAATTAAAGAGATATTAGTTCTTCAACTCAATAATAGGTATATTTAATTTTTTTTCCTTTATATAATTGAATACATAATCTATTGAATTTCGCATATGCGAATGCAAATTAATTTATAGAACAATCGAGATTCCCTTTATTTACCTTGATCAGCCTGTGTATGTAAAATAACCAAAGAAACAAACTATATCATATGATTATTGTCAAAACTTTCCCATTCATAAGTGTAACAGAAACCTCTTCATTTAAGTATATATATCTACACACACACACACACACACACACACACACTGTGTGTGTGTGTGCACTCCTTTTGTACCTTAAGAAGATTAATGCCTGTAAAGCAATTACTGATTTACTGGAACATATCAAAGTTAGAGGAAAGACAATAAGTACACAGGACACAAGTAATAACATATTTGAATTGCTTGTACGTGGAGCCATAAAAAACTCCTACACATGTCTATGTACTACTCCTTCCTCTCCCTTTTATCTATATATGCAACACGTAAATTAACATGAGCAGTGCCAGCATGGATGTGAAAATTCCTCCGGGAGAAGAGACAACCGACCCAGAAGATGAAATCGGGTGCCTGCAGGTAATAAACATGCTTAAGATGACGTCAAAAGACCAAAACAAATCATCAATGATAATTTGGTCTTTCCAAGGAATTTTAATTTTAAGGCTGTCCAGTGTTTTTATTGCCTCATTTAATTTTCCATAAGTGTCATCATTTTCCCAGAAAAAAAAGAAAAGGTCAAAACACCCAATGCAAGCATGAGAGAGACAATGAGATTTATGCGGGTTTTAAGGCACTTACTTTTGTAGATCCTTGAGGGGACCACAGTATAGAACATTATCCGGTGCATCTATCTCTGTATCACCATTTTCTTCAGGATTGACAATCCTCAGATATGTTTCTTGCCCAAGATACCACCTGTCCAGGTTTTCGGCTCTCAGGTTCCATGATCCAACATTGTCAAGAGAAACCAGGACTGCTGTCCATCCACCAGCATAGACCTATAAAGACAATAATAATATAATGTACGATCTCCAACCCTATGAACTAATTCTTTAAGCAAGGTTCTTCTAGAATTTCCTATTGAGATGAATATAGAAAGTTAAAAAAGATAACTCTGACTATATATAGTATACCTTGCTAAGAAATCAAGTTATAATAAAATACTTAAGACTATAGTTTCTTGTTCAACTTCTTTAAAAATAAATCGGGCCACCTTAGTTCTAACTTGCATCAAGGTGAGAGGAATTTAGTCTTGAATGTTAGCTAGAAATAATCATCAGACCCAAATATAGCACCTAAGTAGCATAAATGGAAAGGCTCATACTAAATTTGAAATAATCATCATCTTAGTGGCAAAACAAAATAGTAGGGAAGTCTTATCCAATACCATTGAAGAGGGGAAAAAACGTTAAATGGCCTCATCAATAAAAAGGATTGTACATGTGACAATTTTTAGTAGTGCAGTAGACACCTGAATTGTGCTTCGAGAAATGGCATCCCACTTATTATACTGACTTCTGGAATCTTCTGACCAATTACCATAAGCCATCCTGAATTCAAAAATCATTCTTTTAGTGATGTGACAATCAAAGAAAATATTACACTCAAACACATAAAAAGAGGGAACCGCCTTCAATAAAATACCAACAATTTAAAAAAAAAATAGAGCTTTTTATATTTGATATGTATCTACCACTCATATCAAATATGACCCAATAATTGCTCATAAAAAAATGACCCAATAATTTAAATTATTTTCAATACTATATATACACCCTAAAGTCTAGCTATCTATATAGTCTCATATCTCATATCCTTTGCTTCTTTAAAGGATTCTTACCCAACTACAAACGCTGAATAGCCGTCCAAATGAAAACTCTGCATTGTGGTGTCATTGTTTTGCAGCACAACTTCAATAAACCCCTTATAAGTAGCATTGATAATAGATCTGTCCATCAATGGAGGCCTATCCAAGGGCTTACTGGGAAAATCAAGTTTATAAACTCCCGTCAAGTTATGCTTGTCAGCTAGCCGGAATGGTACTTCTGGCTTAACAAATGAAATCCCATTAATGGCAGCTCGAACTTTTCCATTGATTGTCACTGGTGGCAGAACTTTTAAAAGATAAGTGTCAGTTATGTTGATGGAGCCATAATGATAGGATCCTTGAGGATTGGGACGAGCTCCACTAGCAGATGTATTTTGCCTGATCAACAACACAAAGAAATTACTGCAAATACTCAAGTGAAGCGTGAAATCATGAAGAATGGAGTAAAGAACAACTTGGCTTTCCTGTTATATATCTGCAGCTATGCAACAAACTAAGCCAAGCTATTAAATCTGTCCAGATGTCACTACAGAGGCACATGATAAATGGATATTTACATTCCAAGATACCTTGATACCATTGTTAAGGATCTTAAGACAAATAGACATCATAATATTCTAAGAACAAAGGAAAATCAAACTGAAAAATTGCAATCAGCGTCAGAACAGATTTTACACCATCAACTTCTAACATACCTCACACTTCGTGCTTGATTCATTGATTCCTCTTTGTAGTATAGATCGTTTGGTGGGTCTGGCAGAGGACCAGTAGCAGGTCCCTTAGAATTAGAATAATGCAAGATTGCTACCCCTGTGACTTTCTGCCACAATGATGCATTGACAAACCTTGCACTTGCCACAATATAGTAGTCTGAACTTGCGTTTTGGTCCATAGACACAATAAAAGAGTAAGACTGCCCAACATGAATGTCAAATTGGGTATAATTTGCTTGAACTGTATAATAACCCTCTGTTTCTGCCAGAACTAGATTATGATTCTGTATCCTGAAGTTCAAACTAGTTGATATCCCCACATTGTGGACACGAATTCTGTAAATCTTGCCTGCCAAATTTATTTGGACTTCTGATCATCAGGTTTCAAGTTGTTCAAACCACAAAACAGACAAAAATAGAGGACTAGAAATTAACATAAGTTAATGGACACTAATTCTTAACCAGTGTTATATTCAATATGCTAGTTTTAGTACCAAATACAACACTACACTCCAAATCACGGTTAAAGATTAAACATCTTGTCGTGTCTCACATTTTCATATCCCATATCATATCAGTTCCGGTTGTTGGAAACAACAAATTTTTAGGGAAAATAATGAGCAAAACATTTTTAATTATCAATTAGAAAATGAAACAGCAGGAATACCTTGAAGTCCATTGGGAACAGAAAGTGTAATAACTTACAATGAGAAACATTAGTTAAATAATCTACTCAAGAAAGCAATTGAGGCGATTAAAGATCACCAAGCTACAGTAGACATGAAAAGGCTGCACAAAAGCAATGGGCAGTGGCAATTGGGAAATGCCTCAAATTAAAAGGAAAAAACCAAACGAAAATTGAATATGCTGCAATGTTGCCTAAATACTGGTACATTCATCAGACGTGGCAAGATATGTTAAATATGAAAAGTTTTAAAATTTTAATATCATTTCAACAGGTGTTTATATACAGTAAAAAAAAATTAACACATAAAAATGGAAAATATAAAACTAAAATTGAGTTTTGATCAAGCATTTCGATTCAAACAAAATGTCAAACAAGCATTTCAATGATTCATTGATTCTATGAACTTCTGTGCAGTTTCAGAGCATTTTGGATGCGGAAAAAAGAGCCAAAAAGATAATAAGATATAAGTATGAACATGTTAAAAGTATTATAAAGAACTGTATGCATACCATATTGAATACACACACACAGAGTACAGGCACGTCTACTCTTTCAAGTATTAGTATAGGCCACATCACCAAAACATCATTTCTATGGATGAAGAAATAATATAAATTTATAATAGAATTTTTAACAAGTTATGCCCTATAAGGGATAGATTAAGACCATTGTACAGCAACATGAATAGAATACACAATATAGACAAAGGAACCATAATACGATAAAATGTTAGGTGTCTAGGTGCAATTTAAAAAATTGTAAAATGTTTGATAGACAAATTATTTTCTCAAGTATCCATGCAGAGAGAGAACAATACCAGGATCAACATTAATAGTTTCATATTGGATGCCATCAGGTACCAAAGTGGTGTTGTATCGGAAAGGTCCTTTCCCATTGATAAGAACTCCATCCGGTATACCAAGTTCTTTTCCAGCATCAAGTACTGTTCTCAGGGCCTAAATTTAAGAGAAGCATGTATTCTAATAAATAATCAATCAGGCATTTAAGGAAAACATACATCATCTTAAAAATTTTAAAGCAATAAAAATCGTGGAAACAGTTACTAACCATGTGGTTTTGTGTATACCAGTCACCAATGATAAGAACAATATCCCCATCAGGCTGTGCAAAAGGAATTGGGATAACCTCCCTATTGTTGATAACTAAGGGACCAAAACCACCAGAGGCTCTCTGGAAATTCAGAGAAGGGAAGTAGAAGAAGCTCCCAATCTGATCCTTCACTTGAAATTGATATGTCCAGTTCAATTTGAGAGGAATAGGGCAATTTGTTCCCAGAACACCATCTTGCCATGCATTTCGTCTCATTTGAACCCCAGGCCTAGCACAAATATTTTCCACAATGTTCAATGTTAAGCATGCTAATCAAGGACTATGAAGTACTGATATTTCAAAACAGAATACATTAGTTATTAAACATTCATATATTAGATATAACAGGGCACCATGAAATTGTATTTAAACAATACATAGTTTGTTGTTATGGGGATTATATCATCATGTGTATCAGTATCTGTGCTTTTAAAACCAAAGAGAGTAGAGAAATCTTATTTCTTATACCAACCAAGTAAGAAGGAGATCCTCATCCAAATCATTCCAGACATTCACAACTAGATTGTTACCAGTAGTAACATTTATGAGAGGGCCTGGAAACTTGTCATTGACAGCTATCACCTGCAATAAGATTATATTGAACAGTGGAGTCAGCCAAATTTCCAAGAGCGTTGTACATTTTGGGGAATCAGAGAAAAAGAACCTTTGGATCGCAGAACTAACACAATTAGAGAAAACACACAAAAAGAAATAGACACAAAATCAAATAATAAAATCTCAAATCTCATTTATAAGTCCAGCAAAACCCAGTTCAAGAAGTTGGTAGTCTGCTCTGTTTCAACGATGCTCAAAAGACACCATCTTGAAACTCAAAAGGCACGATGGACTGCGGTGAGACTGAGAGAAGTAGACCCGTTTTCTACTCAATGAGCGGTGGAATTCAAACTATCCATTATACCATTCAAACACATACATTCTTTAACACGTAAGAAATGATCTTTGGAAAGAAAGATGAATGCTACACGGAGGTGCTATAACCCGTATAATCAAATTCCCAACAGAAAGAACGCACGCAAATTCAGAACAATCATGAGCGAAATGCAAATTATTACTCGTCCTCGTCGTCATTATCATCGTGAACCACATTAAAAATAACGAAACAAGTCGAACGAACGAACGAACCTGTTGAGGAACACCGAGAGGCGAGACAGTGGTGTAAGAGACCCGAAGCTCAAAGAAAACAGTTGGGTCGCCAGCGAAACAGAGGAACGAGAGCAGAGCAATGTGCAGCAGCAGCAGCGAGAGTGAGAAAAGAGAGGGAGTCATTTTCATGGATGATCGCAGAGAAAGATGCTATTCGAATTTCTGAAACTTGCTTCTTGCGAAAGAAAAACGAATAGCACAGGGCCAGAGAGAGACAGAATGTCGAGTCGCACACGTCGAGCACGTTTTTGGAGTCTTGTTTAGCGTGACTGGCTGAGGGGTTCTGTGAAATTTATGGAATTATTACAGATTCGAACCCTATCAAAGATTTTTTTTTTTGAGTAAAAGATATTTATTTTGACAAAATTTTACTGATAAGTAAATAAGAAAATTTGTCGAGGATTGTTTTCCCGAAATAATGATGCTTTTTTGGCAGAACAATAATGATGTTTCTCCTCTCTCTCTTTCTTTGGATAAATAATTCTTGCTCCCAAAAGAAAAAATCTATGAGGATTTTTTAAAACAAAGATGTAAAATATTTAACATTCCTTCCAAGTTCCACTTCATTTTATATGAAGGTTTTTTTTTTTAATAAAATTGTGAATATCAATAAAGTCAATCATTTAAAATTTTAATTTAAAAAATATAAAATTTTAATTCATTTATTAAATGAGTAGAAAAAAAGAAAAATATTTAAAGAATACAATAATCCGGTGTGATTTTGAAGGAAATTTTATTAATGACTTATTATTTTTTTCAAAATATTTTATATCATAGAACACCAAATCACTTTATCTTAGGAAATAGGATGTAGGGAGAAACTTGATCTGTTTTTGCAATATCATGGTCTAAAACCAAATTGGAACATCAAATGTAAGTTATAGGTAATCCAATCCAAATTTTGAAGTTGAAATTCTTTTAAACATTTCTTACTTAATTTTTTTATGTTACATTTTGTATAAACTATGAAGTAAAAAATATTTAAATATTAATAATAAAATAATTTATCACAAACAATCTAGGTTTAGATATGAGCACCCTCGGATTCATATCTTCTCAAAAGCCATTTGCCTCAGCGTCCCTTAACGTCTTCATATTAGCCAATCAATAAAATATCCAATGTCTCATATTTTGCCACATCATCTCATATAAACATAATTTTATTTTAAAAAATAATTCTTTCATTAAATAGATTTTTCATTTCATTTTTATTTTCAAAACTTGTTCCTTCATTATATAGTATGACTTATTCAAAGTCTAACTTGAATTATTTAATAAAAAATTGTTTTAAAAAATGTATAGAGTGAATCAGACTATAAGCAGGTACTTAAAATCTAGCTTATTCAAACTTTAGCATAATTTATTTAATAAAAATTCATTTAAAAAAATTTACACAATAAGTCAGTACTATGAACAGATACTTATCACCTAGCTTATTCAAAATCTAGCTTGATCTATTTAATAAAAATTTATTTAAAAAATTTAAAGAGAAATTTTTTAGAACAAGTTGAAAGAATTATTTTTTAAAATAAAAGTATTTTTACATGAAATAATGTGGCAAAACATGAAACATTAGACATTTATTGAATTGCTAATATTGGGACACTAAGGTGCGCTGAGACAAATGGCTTCTGAGAGGATCTAGATTCGAGCACCCTCATGAAATTCTGTCTTATGATTTGTTCTCAAAAGAAATTCATGCATGGACCAAAGCACCATATCACCCATGCTACATCCAATAGAAACATGATATTTGGATAGCATTAAATATAATTTGAGTATGTCATTAATAATAGTAAAAAAAAAATATAAGAAATTAAATAAACATTCTATTATAAAAATAAAATCATTAAAAATAATGATACATAAGATTTTCTTTAATTGAAATGGTGCAATTTTATTGAATAAAATATAGATGATGCAATAAATCGAGTCCATGTAATAATCTCTTCCATCCCTTGTTTCTCATGTTGAGGAGATAATCTTTGTGATCAATGGGTCTACTTATGCTTACCAAAAAAAATGATAATGTTAGAGATATATAGTGCTAATTAATTAGGTGTTAAATAAGGGATGATGCGTGGATAATTATTAGGATTTAAATAAAAGTATTCTTTGTAATAAAAAATAGTGATGCTAGAAAACTCAGAACAAAATAATATTTTTGGACATTAAATTGATATATATGTATGAATGTATGTATGTATGCACACACGCACATAAAAAAAAATAAAGAAGCAGATTTGCCATTCTGACAACTATTTTATTCTTCTCGTATTAATCAAATGAAGTCTTAGTGTGTTACGTCAAATAATTTATTTCATATATTTTATTTAAAAAAATAGCAATGATCTCTTGAAAAACAACAACTCTACTTTTTTTTTCCCCTTGCTATATCATAAGCAAGAATGGGGGCAAGCAGGAGACCTTGCACAGTTGCACCCGCCCCATAATATAAATTTTCTTTAAATATATATATATATATATATATATTATTTATAATACATGTGAAATTTAATATTAACCCACCCCACGTTCTTATAATCTTTTCTTGTTGGTCCCTGTGTATTAATTTCTCGATCCGTCCTTGAACTTAAGTAGCTGTCTTAAATTCAATTAATTCCCCGATCCCCAATTATACATTAATTTTTTACAGATTGAGAAAACATTATCAAATGCTAACATGTTAAATTTAATTTTTTTTAAAAAAATATAGCTTTTAATCTTTACTTGCGTTTTGTTTTTAATCCTTATATTTTTTTTTAATATTTTAACTCCTTAAACTTTTGTTTTTTATTGACTTTTAGTCTTTCTATAAATAAAGTATAGAGGCATAAAATAAAAGTGTGGGAACTTAAAATATAAAAAAAAAATAAGGACCAAAAGTAAAACGAAAGCAAAGTACAAGGATCAAAAAATATATTTTTCCTAACTTTTTAAAAATAATAATGATTGACATAAAAAATAATCATTTAAAACTAACAATGTTAGAATTAGAAAATTGAAAAGATATTTATATTAAACATTAATGTCTTAATATTTAAAATCAGATGGAGTAAATCCCAATGATTAATATTAAGCATTAATGTCTTATATTATTGCAATAATTATCCAACTAAGATGACATTTGCATACTAACACAAGCATAACGGGACATTATTAATTTTCTATTTTATTAGTGCTAATTATTAATCATAAAAAATTAAATCTACAAGTATTTTACACTTTAAGGACTGATTAATACTAATGAAAATAAAGAGACTAAATTGCAAATTAGGTAAAAAGTTTCAGGACCTAAAACTTTATTTTTTTAAAAAAAAAAACTTCCTTCAAAGCAAATTTCACATCTGTAATTAAAAAAATTAAATTGTAATTTACATAAAAGTTGGTTTCATAGTTTGATATCTTTGAAAAAGAGATCAACTGAATGGGTCCAAGCGTGAGTTTGAGGCTCCAAAAAGTCAGACAATTCATTACGTCAACAACACTTCTAGTTTTTCTTTTTAATGGAAGTCAACAACACTTTTTTATTCGGGAGAATTTCAATAAATACTATTGAATCATATTTCTTTAAATTTTAAACATCTAAATTTTTAAAATTTTACTGCAGGATACTAATCTAATATTAAATTTTAAAAAAAATAATAAAATTATCTCTTATTTAAATTAATATTAAAACCTTCTCATTTGCTTGTTAATTTACTTATTGAATATTGTTCATTGCTCTACTTAACTGGTTTTTTATTTTAGGTGTTTAAATAACCTAATACAACTTATTAGTTTCTATAATATATATTATTCATTTTCTTATAAATTGTTATTTATTACCTTACTTCACTTATTTATTGCCAAAGTTTTACTTGATTTTATTTAAAAAAAAATGAATAAGTGAAGTGAGACAATTAGCAACATTCTATAAATAAATAAATAAGTGAAGTAGGACAATGAATAAATGAAGTAGGACAGTTTTAATATTAATTTAAATGAGAGGTAATTTTATCATTTTCATCACAAATTTAATATCAAATCAGTACATATATATTACAATAAAATTTCAAAAATTTAAAAATTTAGAATTTTAAATAAATCTAGTTCAAAGGTCACTATTGAAATGCTTCCTTTTTATTTTATTTTCTTAACACGCCTTGACTTAGCTTTAAAGACTTGGCTTCATCAGGACTCCAAGACTAAAATGCTGTGATTAAATTTAAATCTATCAGTTTACCACTGAAAGGATGTATTGCGTCAACAGGAAAAAGGCTGTATTGACTTGTCAATTTTTTAGTTTATATGTGATTTTATAAATGTATGGATTTAAATATTTAACAAGAAAAATATAGCTTGTTTATCATTTATTCAATTTAGTATAGAAACTTGAAGATTGTCACGATAAAAAAAATTTTAAAAATGGCGGAAAAATTACTTTCGTTTCGTGCTTTTAAAAAAGTAATGTAAAATCAAAATTATTAAGTACTAGATGGAATAAAAAAAATCAATACCGAGGTTAGCACAAATTTAATAATATTTTATTAAAACGTTATTGGTTTATATAAATAAGTATTTTTCATTAATATTACATATGTAAAAAAAATTACACTGTCTATATAAATGTGCCAAACCTTGTGTACATAATTTATGAAGGTAATTTTTTTATTTAAATAAATTGGGTATAATTTTTTTATTCTGTCGCTCGTATCTTGATAACATAAGGATAATACCATCTTCTGCCCAGATTAATTATAAAATAAATTAATTCAACTCTCTTAACAAATTAAGCTAAGCGCCTCTTCGTCAAATTGGGTAGAAGTTAGTAAAATGATAAAATAATTACATAAATTTAAAAGACTCCCTTTGTTTTTTATTATAAGGGAAACTACTACAAGTTTATTTATTTTTTATAAACAAAACTATAAAAATCAAGAAACATTTATTACATTTTTTTCTAAATTATCTTTTATAAAATCAAAGTTTATTTTCATAAGATAAATTTGTTTCAATAATTACAAAGATAATTTAATTTATTTTGAATTTTAGCTATAATTATTATAGTTAACCAATTTTTTTTTTAAATTTATGAATTGGTTGAAATTTGCTTATCATATTCTCAATCCTAGAATGAATAGGATTGTCTTGCATAAGAAAATACTTACGCCAGGAGCACTAAAAAAAAAAACAGGAGCATGTGGTTCGATCAATTTTCAAGCCA